CTGACCTCAACGGGGTCAAACCTGCAATCCAACACACTACTGGGTCGGGCGGGGTTCAAATTCAGTGCATTGACGAACCTCTATTTTGCTAGCAAATTCATTTTTTTCTAATTCAGAATCGGTGGCCGCTTTCTATCGGCTTCATTTCTATCCGATGGTGTACGAGCGTCTCCATATCATAGATTTGCCGAAGGACTCGGCTTTCACATGGATACTGTGCTTTTTCACCCAGGATCTCGTTTACTACTTAGGTCACCGAGCTATCCATGGTAAGTGTAAGAGAGTAAGGATGCCACCCATTTTGTTTGCAGCTTGCCATTAGTTATCACGGAGCAAATATCCGTCATTCACACAACTTTCAACTGAAAGGCAAGACTTGAGACCTTTCATCCAGAGAGGAGCCGTATTTGTGACTCCTGGATTATGGTCGTGTTCGGGTCTTTGGAGCGAGGTTGTGGTACTGGAAGCTGAAGGGATCGTGCTTGTAGGGGATAGGGTGCTTTTAGCATCGAGAGGGATGAACTGCCGTGATAAAGGACCGAGTTGGACGAAAATGTGTAGGTTTCAGTGTATACCTCTTTCCCTCCTTGAGCGGAAGTTGGAGTGTGTCATGTGGTGCCAGAAACACATATATGTAGAAACAGTCGCAGCGGTGTGGCGGTGGTGGGAGAGGGGTCGCGGTCATATTTGAGAATCCCCTTGAGGAGGGAGGGTTGTCCATCTCAAACTTGTAAGGTGAGGCCTGATCCTGTACAGCGCGTCCTACAGTCTGGCCCCATGCTCCTTTGTGCATTGTCGAAAGTATGATCCGTTAAGAGAACGGAGGACGACATCTGGTAAAGGTGATCTCTCATTCCCACACACTGGCGAGGTCTACTGCGCACCCACGGGCGACAGAGGCACCGTCCGAAGACTCGTCGCTCGCGTCGCAAAACAGCTAGGCTATCAGTATTGTGCTATCAGTGCGCCAGCGAATCCAGTCGCCCGCAGTATTGATCGTCTCGCAAGCGTTGTGGCGCGAACGGCGACTGTGGCCCGCGCACCGTGCGGGCGGCAAACTATTCGTACGGGGGCCTCATCCGCGATTTTGGAAAGGAGTCGTATTCAAGGTTGATTAAGATTCAGCCTTTGGAAAGGTAGGAACGG